TATTTTAAATATTTTATTTGAAGAGAGTTATAAATGCATCAACAACAATCAAATAATAAGATCATTTTCTTGTCTTGGTATGAAATACTATTGATGGCTGAGAGAACCTGTCAACCATCTTTGAAGAAAATAAAGATCAGAATATATGAAAATTACAAATTGCTACATTTTGGATTTTGTCAACATATAATAACCACTCCTCATATAACTCGCCTCTAGAAGGAGGGATAATATCACAAATATACATATTTATTCTAATATATATCTAAATGATTAAATCGAAGTACATAAAAGTAGATTTATTTCATAAAATCTTCTAAAAAAGATTCTTAGAAGCTTCATAAATATTGCTTTGACTTTACACATGTTTGTAGTTGATTGGTAGATTAGAAACTTGATCAATAAGTTAATCATGTGTTGGTAGCTTATAGAACAAGCTAATTATAAGATGTACATATAAAAAACTTGCCTTGAAAATTAAGATATGTATCTTGTAAAATCAACACCTTTTTGAAGTCATCTAAGATACCGCCATATAGCTTCTAGTTAAGAATATATATAGAGGCAAGTGTGAAGCCTTTTTCAGTCTTATGAACATCTTTCTAGTCCTTAATATTTTTTTAAGACTTTCTAATTTTCTTATCTTTAGAAATAGCCATTTTAATTTAATACTATATCATCTTTAAGTGACTTTCTACTTCTTTTGAGTGACACAAGAATATAGTGAGGATTTCTTTCTTTGAACTTCATGTCCTTAATACAAAAATATCTTCAATGAAGAATAAAACTCTATTATTCATACTCACAAAAAATTACTCAAACTGGAGTTGAGTGCACATTTTCTTCCACTTCAAAAGGATCTACTTAACAAAAACATCTCTAGCTATCATATTAAATATCAAAATATTTATTGTAATCCTACTAAAAATAAGAATTTGTGATGAAGCTCCAATAATCAAGCTTACCCTTGTAGGCCATGTCAAAAACAAGAATCTATGCAAAGAAGAGGAAAGGTGGCACAGCTTGTGGAAGGAACATGCACCACATTAAGTCGCTAAAATTCCAGACAATGCATAAATAAGTAGTGAGTAAATCCTTCAAACTCACGGTCTTTTATTTAATAAAATATTTTCTAATATAATCTCCAAATAATTTAATTTTTGTATATTTATTTTAAACTTCATAATAAAATTAGGTATCAAATTTTAATCACTTTCCAAGAATCCTTTGCTTCAATGTATTTAACATATTGTAGTTTTGTAATTATACAATGACATAATAAAAGAAGTGGTATTTGTTGGAACATAAAAATATTATATATTTATTTTATATTAAAAAATTAATATTTTTTATATTAAAAATTTAATATTTTTTATATTAAAAAATTAATAATTTTTTTTATAAAAAAATCAATGATTGGCTATTATTAATATTTGTATATTAATTATATGTATATTAACTGAAGCAAGTTCTTTGTGTGTTTTCTCCATATCACAATGCAATGCAAATTTAATTTTGATTTTATTTTTCTTGTAATCTGTTTCAAGGCATTAAAGCAAATCTCAAGTATGTATATATGGATATATTTATATTTTTATTCTTGTATTTTGTTTTCCTAAATACTAAATATTTATTTTTGAGACTTATTTAGAAAATGTCTAAATTTTATCTAATATAGAGAAAAAAAATATATAAAATTTTATAAAATACATGATATTTCAAATCACTTTCTAATTAAAGTTATAGTTTGAAATATTATATTATGTAATATTATTTTACATGTGGTATTTATAAAATATATTTGGCTTTATATTATTGAATTTTGGACAAAGATGTAGTTGATTTCTACTCATCTTTGTAAAAATCATATAGTAGAGCAATGCTCTAAATGTTTTTTATATTGAAAAATTTGTACCTCATATGATGGAATTTTTGTTTAATGCAAAAGAATTCAATGTATTCTTTACACCTTTGTAACATGAACAAAATTAACACATGTTTTTTGAAATATATTTTTATGTTTGTGAATATATATATATATATATATATATATACATACATATGTAAGTTTTATATTTTTTAAAGTTAATTTTCTTATTATACTTTCTTGAACCACATGCATTGTAGATATCTTTGTCCATTGCACAAATAAAAAATCCGCAACTAATGTTGTATATTTGTGAAAGGCTATAGTAGCAGCATGCATCTGATTATACACCATTATTGTTTGACATGTGATTTGTTTGAAAAAACAATCTACAACAGTTAAAAGCAAAGATTGTTTGCTAAATGGAGAAATACAAATCATAGATCTAAAATAAATATTTTATATTAAAAAAATTATTAATAATTAAATGAATCTGACAATCATTTAGCTTACTAAATCGGTTTTCTCATATATATATATATATATATATATATATACTAATATAAGAGTAAACAATCATTTGCTTACAATAATTTTTACATTTTAAATATATCTTAATAGTTGCATTATACTAATGTAATTACCTCTATCTATAGTATAACTCCAATTGCTTAATCTTAACCTTGAATATTATAAATATAAAGATCAAAATATCAAATTTAATAAGTTGTTGCATTATTATTAAGAACCAAATTCTTTTCATTTTGCATAGACAATGGCTTTATATACAATCTTCAAAAGTTATTTAATTCTAAGACAAAAATATATGGGTCTTTTTAATAATTTGTAAATCAAAATAGAAGAAAATAATATCAAGACCTAGTGTTAGAAAAATCTAGTATTGATGATGAAATAATATTGTTGTCAAATAGATCTTACAATGTATCCAATTATATCACTATTTAAAAATGTGCAAAAGATTTAAAAATAAATTTGAAGCTTTGTAAAGTACAAATTCATGCACAAGGTCTACAATTGAAATGTCTTAGTTCTATAACTTCTTATTTAATGCTACACATCCATATATATATATATATATATATATATATTAAAAAAAGCACGAGAAGTATGATGTATATAAAACATGGCATAAAGAAATAAAACATCTGTAACAAACCTTGTGTATATCATCAAAGATTTTGCAAAGATTTTTAAGCAAATATTCTTATTCCGAAAAATAGTTATCTTAAGGAGATACAGCAAAAGTAATACTCAAAAATCAAAAGAATTTCATCTAACAACATTTTTGAAATCTTTCTTCTACTTCATATTCTATGAGCTAATCTTCTTATTTTTTTGCTTATGTTAGATGAACAACTTTTTTAATGTAGACATTAGAGTTTGAATTGCTAAATAATATTCTTTAACCTTAAATCCATTAAATTCATAATACCCACTGCAAAAAATATAAATTAAATAATGTAACATTAAAAGGCAATTCTATATCTCATTAAGATAACAATTTTTTCACATACATCTATTAAAATAGAAATAAGCTAAGACTATAGTTACAACTACTAAAGTATTAAATAAATAAGAAATTTAGTAAAAATGAAAGATACAAAATTAAAAATAAATGATATACAATTTAATAAATAGAAAAATACAACATAAAAAAATACAAAGAAAATAAGTTGTGTCTTTGAATTTCACATATTACAAGAGCTTATATTGATCTATACAAAGCAATGATATTCTATTAAATATGCAATTTATCAAATTCATCCTCAACAAAGGCATCTAAGTAAAAATTATCTCCAATCAAACTACCGTTTCACAAACCTCCACACATCTCAAACGCTACACATGTATGATTCAACTGGCATTAACCTGACATAACGACAATGTTCCAAAATCCACAAATCCATGCCATCACGACGAGAGAATTTACGATAATGACCCAAAGATGAACCCATCTCTGTAAATTTTAGGAGACGGAAATACATTTACTTTAAAAAAAGTAAATTATTTTAGTAATCCCAACAGCCAAGGGGCAAGCACAGGTCAACCAAAGCCTGAATAGCCTTCCACTAATGCAAGCGTCACACAAATTCCTAAAACATTCCACTCCAATTGTCCGAAACACCTGCGTAGTAATACTGTGTTCATTGCACAATTCGATTTACGTCATACTTCGACTTTGAGGCACCCAAGGGAAACCTACACAAATACAGATTAGATTTGAAAGATAAATGACAAACATTTTAAAGGTACACTACACCCAACCACCCGATAAATGTTAGTACAACTCATACAATATTTGTCAGTGAAACGTACAGCCGAAATTCATTCCACAACACAAAAATCGAATTCGCACCGCTACTCTCAGCGACTCAGCCAAACGTGACCATTCCTAACTTACCAACACCACACAGCAAATCCTCAGTAAAACACAACAGACCACCAGCGCGGTCTTTCAACTCCGAGCTTCAAGGCAGCCATATCAGAACATCACAAGGCCGGCTGCAAACGAGACAACACTAAGAAATGGAACAACCCACACCAAAATCCAGCAGAAATAGTGGTCATCAGGGTAGAGAATTGCTTACTACCTCCTAAACAACAAAATAAGACCAAGTACACGTCCGCAATCCAGGAGAGTATCGCAAAACCAAAAACTACCGCAAAACACAACCCCCAGAAATCAAAGCTTCTTTCTTAACTTCAGATCTACTGCAACTGATCAAGCTCAACAATGTCTGCACCACATATCACTTCCACCTCCTCCGTCTCCTACTCTCCATTACCCATCCCCCCTTCCACCCTCCATTCCAATCATCACCATCCACATCCACAACTCTCTGCACGCCAAAATGTAATTCTCCAATAAATATAACCATAGCACCACCTCGTCCCTAAATCTGTTCAGAATCTAGTGATTACCGTATCTCTCTCCATGGTGCACATCTTAACCATGTAGTCTCCACTACTTTACTACACAACAGAGTTCTGAAAAAATCAAGTGGTATCGGACATTCCAATTCCTACGCAACCAAAATAAACACAGAAGACCGCCTCCTACCCACTGCTTCCTCTAACTCTCGGCCCTCCCCCTCCTCCCCTACCCCTTCTCCTACACCACACCTACTGGCAGGTCACTCCATTCCCATCCGACCACTCGATCGGCTCCTCGCCGCCTGTGGCTCCACATTTCTGGACCATGGTCATGCAGCCAAAATCCTGCCGCCTTTACTTTAACACTAGGTCGACACGCCTGCGCCCATCCCAACACAATCCCATCGTCAGCCCCGCAACACAAATCCCGCCACAAATCACCCTCCCACCACCACTTCCTTCACGCATCGCACGCACCTACTACCCGCCCCACATCTCTACCCATCATGCGCTACCTCGACACCGCTCTTACCACTACTCTCCACCATCTAAGCACCCCCTCCCCTCCCCCCGCACCCTCCGACCCCCCATCAACATCCATGCTGGTAATATTTGCGA